CACCCCTGGGTCGGAACCCATCAGGATGGGTTCTGATAGGGCGGAAAATAACTTCCGGCTGACCACCTGAAAACCCACTAGACGGAGGCCTTGCTCACCAGCCGCCCGTCTAGTTTTGAGGTCTTTGATAGCCGCCTTTAACTTCAATCGATCTGTCAGTGGAAGGTCCGGCTTAACGCTGACACCACTACCCTTAAGTTTGAATGCAAGCCGCAGTAATGATTTGTGTTCCTCCGGGGTTGAAAGGACCACGCGAAGTAGTCGGGGTCGTGAATTTGGCGTAGTGATAGGGACGTTCCCCAATCTGGTCAGCTTTCTGACAGTGACACCAGGGAAGCCAGACGGAAGCAGCATGTTGACGCACAGATTGAGAAATTTGATGTCATCCTAGATGCGTTCCCTTGGGACAGCAGCCTCAGATCCAGTAATGTTACGGAAGATAACGCTACTATCCGTGAAAGAATCGGCACGACGGGGAGTGTTTACCCCACGGGCCTTGGATTCGACACTTACACCAGATGTTTCCACAACTGGCAGTAGGACTATCCTTGTCGAAGCAACGGTAGCGTAGATTTTCCGCTCTATTGCTAGCGTCTTACTAGTTCCTGGATCTTCAAGCCCTTTCGAAGCATTACGGGCAGATCTAGTCCGCTTCTTCATTTGGCTCACGAGAGCAGGGGCCGTTGACCTTTGTCGCATTGAGCAGTTACCAACACTACATCAGAACGGGTTGGTTCAGTGGCAGCCGAGACGGTCAGCAATTTCTGAATGTTGTCCTGTGCACAACCTTCAGATGACTTTAGGAGTGTCAAAAGTGGCAAACTTCTCGATGCCGTGGCAACTAATCCTCTGAATTTAGGAGAGTGCTTCTAGTACTTCCGCACCCTATTTTTCTTCACTTTGACCTGCTCATGAGGATAGTCAGCAGTGCTACCTGGAGTGACCGGTAGGATGTGCGAGTTCTTGACAGAGTGACAGAACCCAGCGGATGGATCGTCAGCAACGTTGCAGTCTATTGCAGTGTCATCAATCACAATATTCAGGGGTCGCAAAATCAAATCCATTTTCGCATCGAGCGACGCAATAGAGGAGAGTTTGGCTATCGCCTTTTCAACATGTGCCAACCCCCAGGGGTCCATCAGCCTCGGTGTTTAGTGAGACAGCCATGTTCATGTGAAGAACAGAGGAGAATTATAACACGTATACAATAGTAAAAGGACCGCAATAAAAGAGGCAAAAAAGGGTGAAAAACGGGATTAAAACTGGGAACATACGGAAAAGTAATTAGTAAGCGCCAAATACGCTTTGACCAGTACCAAGATATCCAAGATATCGCGGATCAGAGGAAATTTGACAATAGTCAAATTCCGTTTCAAGCGTTTATTCAAACACGGTTTTCCACGTTATTTCGGCTATGAAGCTCGACCAGTATTGCACGCCAAAATATCGAGTTACCGCGTAGTACTCACAGATGGGGCACTCACAAACTGACAATGACAAGGCTTGTATGCTTAGTGATCAGTATACTGGGGTCTTGGCTATAGAGACCTTTTTACCACAGGTTGTATTGGTTTCAAGAGCTCCAGAGGATTCTTGCTTAGCTGAGTTTAACATAACAGAGACTCAGATTTTCGAGACACTGCAAGGCATTATTCCATCTAAAGTTTCCGGTCCTGATTCAATTCATCCGAAGCTGTTGCATGAATTGGCCGCTGAGCTGAGTGGTCCTCACACATGCGTGTTTGCACTATCGCTTGACAGCTGCCTTACCTTTGGAATGGAAGGAGGTAATCATCTGTCCAATTTTTAAGGGCGGTGACAGCGCTCTGCCCGCGAACTACCGGCCTGACAAGCATAGTAATCAAGTTGCTTGAAAAGCTGCTAATGGATTCAGTGGAGAACCACCTGAATAGATTTAAGCTTCGCAGTGTTGCGCAACAGGGATTCCGCAATGGATTTCCATGTCAGGCTAATCTACTTGTAGCTCGTGAAAGCTGGGCCGAAGCGGTAGACAGTGGCCACGCTGTGGACGTGCTATTCGTGGACTTTCCGAAAGTTTTTGACTGTTCCTCATCTTCGACTCTCATTAAAGTTGAGATTTCACGGTATATCTGGTCGCACCCTTAAATGGGTGTCTGCTTTCTTGGAGGGAGGGAACTGCGCACGGGTGGGGATACGGTCTTTCGCACAGGCAAGCTGTCTTCAGTGGCTTCCCAGAGGGCTCGGTATGGGGGGCCATTGTTGTTCGCGATCTATGTGTGACTTGCCGGGGTAGCTAGCAGTGTCATCACTAATGTTTGCTGACGACGTTGAGCTCTGGAATATTGTGGATATCCCGGGGGTCCTGAGGCAATACAGCGTGCCCTGGATAGGCTCTGGGAATGGTCTACCTTATGGTTGATGCAAATAAATAGGCCCAAGTGCTCTGTTCTCCGAATCGGAGTTGTTAATCCTCGCACTAGATATGTTGTCAGCGATGGTGAAATCCTTGTTGTCACTCAGCACTTCCTTATGGCAACAATTGGAAGAAAGTTGCTTGTCGGGTGTTTTACATGATGTGGTTTATCCGCCGTCCATTTGGAGTCCTAACGTCCAATTTGTTTGTGAAGCTATTCTCGGTATTCGTCCCACCCCACCTGGAATAGTGTATCCAGGCCTGTCTACGATGTCTTATCCGAGACAAACTGGACTTGGTGAGGGTGTTAGGATTGGGTACTCGCGTAGTGCAGGGTCTACGGGGACAGACGTATCCTGAACGCTTGCTCAGTTTAGGGATGTACTCAATTCACTACCGAAAGATAAGAGGGGACCTGATTCTCACTTATCGTATTTGTACGGGTAAGATCGGCCCGGACTTGTCAGCGCTGTTTAGTCACGCTACATTACCTAATCTCCGCAGCCACCTACTGAAACTGCATAAACCACGGTCTGATAGATTAGGACGGAAACTTGTCTGTCGCGCCGAGTTATAGACCTTTGGCATTCGCTTCCAGATCCCGTGGTTACGGAACCTGCGGTTGAGTTTTTCGCGTCAGCTTGATGCTCTTAGGTGGCAACACCAAACCTTTTACCTAATTGACTCAGCTTCACGTTTCAGTTCTTTTTTAATGACTCAAAAATACTGGTATTCTACTTGTTTAGCTCCTTCGACTTGCTCTTCTCGCCTACTGAGTTTACTTTTTTCTCTTTCTTACTTCACGTAACCGGCCCAGCAGAGACTGCTAGGGCAGGAAACGTGGGCATTAATTGCTTGAACAGGATGTGATGTGGTCTTTGTTTTAGTTCCATCAGTATTTCAAAGTCTGCCAACTCCTGGTTCAACGAGCGGCTGAAGAAGAAACATTCACGGAATAATCTTATCGTTCAAGCAATGCGTAACGTGAACTTGATAACGCTATTAAGGTCAGTTTTACCCGGCTGTCTTTTAATGTGTGTAAAAAAAGCTTTTGGGATTAGCTGCGGCCAAGTCCGCTAAACCCTACTGGTATTTGAGACCAGCAGTCCTGAGATGTGGCTTACGTTTATTTCGAATCTTTCGGTAATTGTCGTACGTACTGCCTAATGGAGCTGCTTGGTATGTTCGCCAGCATCTGGACGGTTTCGTGTGTAGGCACTTGTCTGTGGTATCTATCCATGGAGGCTATGCCCGTTACCCTCTTTTTCACATGATTAACATATAAGGATTGGAAACCTCCCTAAAGTACGCCATAATTTTAGCCCAACTTAACTGGACAGTCAGTCATCGAGATCTCACGGTTCAGAACTTAACCCTTAGGTTGCAATGCACTAAAGTCCGCCCGCCAAACATTTGGAAGTAATTCAGCAGCGGTCTGTTGGGGCCTTGAAAGAGAAAACCGAAAGGATATGCTTGTGTGATCGTTGGACCCTAGAAGTGCAACGTATGAAACGTCAGTCACGAAATCGGGTAACGTGCTGCACAACGGTCAGGTCAGGTGGACGATAGAGACTTCCGCCTAACGAGGGTCCAGTTCTTGTGCCGGTAAGTGAAGCGGTCCCCGGCACTTCGGCGTTGGATTGTCTCTTCTTGCTTCTGCAATGGAATGAAGAGCAATCTCTGCACTTTCATATGCCAGCATCAAAATACACTACATATACCAGTACAACTACAATAGCTCTGGAAAAAGGATGGACCAACAATTGTCTAAGCCCCTTTTGAAGGCTACTACGGTCTCAGACTCCACTAAGTCAGGAGGGAGTTTATTCCAGTAGTTAACTACTCGGTTCGTAAAAAAACTTTGCCCTGATGTCCCAACGAGCTCCGTGATGTTTGAGCTTCAGGCGATGCCCGCGCAGATGGTCTGACGTAGCCAACTCAAACAGATGGGTGGAACTAATACCACTAAGTCGCTTAATGATTTTAAACGTCTCTATCAAATCCCCTCAACCTACGCCGTTCCAGGGAAAATAAACCTAAGCTACTTAGACGATCTTCGTAAGACTTCCCTCGTTGACCTTCAATCATCCTGGTCGCAATTTTCTGAATCTTTTCTATACAAATGATGTCACTCCGGAGGTACGGTGACCAGGCCTGAACACAATACTCCAGATGTGGCCTGACCACTGTTTTATATAAGGGCAAGAATACTTGTGCTTTAGTGTTACTCAGCGCCCTCCTAAGACGAAATAACTCGTGTCGTGCTTTATTAGCAGCATGGCGACACTGTGCCGAAGGCTTAAAATTGTTCGCTACGATGACACCTAGATCACGGGCTTCGTCAGTACACTGCAATGATAGAGATCCCATAGGAGACTGAACTGCAATTCCGCTACCACTACTAGTCAACAGTTGACATTTGTTGGCATTTAGAGGTAGGTCCTATTGGCTTGACCAATTCGCCACAGTAATGCCTTAGCCAATGTCGCTCGGTTTCCCCTACTGACTAGTTTCAAGTCATCTGCGAAGATGTAGCAGGGATCCTCAAGAAAAGGAGCCAAGTCATTTATAAACATAAGAAACAGCAATGGACCCAGAACCGAACCTTGGGGGACACCGCTGTAGGCATGGCCAACACTAGAACTCGCTTCCCCAACGCTGACTCTGAATGTCCTTCCACGTAAGAATTCAGAGAGCCATAGTAATAGTTGAGGATGCAATCCAAACCATGTCAGCTTCCCAATTAAAAATCGATGATTCACGGAGTCAAAGGCTTTACTGAAGTCCAAATAGCACACCTCTACCGATATCCCACCATCAAGACAGCGGGTAATCTCGTCTAAAAAGCACAATAAATTGGTAAGACAAGACTTCTTTTTGAGAAAGCCATGCTGTTCCGCTCTAATTAGATTGTGCTCAGTCAAGTGCTCACAGATCCTGTTCTTATAAGCCTTCCAGGCATTTCAGCATGATGCTGGTCAGTTCAGTTCAGATGGGGACTGGAACGATAGGAAAATCCCGTGAGTGTTCCATCTTGAGTGGATCGTTGAGCCAGGAATTGATGAAGTACTCAGTTATTGATGGATCTAAAACGGAAACACCCGTATCGCACCCTGGCCAACCAGTTAATGCCCACGTTTCCTGCCCTAGCAGTCCCTGTTGTGGCAGTCACGTGAAGTAAGCAAAGGATAGGAAGAGAAATCGAAGGTACAGAATAGGGAAATGCACTTAAATAAGAAAATAATACCAATACGTGAAGAAAAGTAGAGAAAATAAAATCGAAGTACGAAGATGCAAGTTAGTCAGGAAAATGGAAAGGTTTCGTGTTGCCACCCAAGAGCGTCAAGTTGCCGCTCAAACCCCTTAACCGTAGATTCCCTGATAACACTTTCCGGAAGCATGTTCCGGCGGTCGATGACTAGGCGTGACAGCCGGATTTCCGCCCTAATCCGATCAGACCGCGGTTTGTCCAGCTTCAACGAATGACCGCGTAGAACAGACAATCTAGCGGGACTAAATAGCCAAGATAAATCTGGACCAACCTTCCCAGTCAAGATACGGTAGGTTAGGATTAGGTCTCCTCTAAGCCTTCGGTAGTGCATTGAATGCATTCCCAAACTAAGTAGACGCTCGGGGTACGTCCGTCCCCGTAATCCCTCGACTAACCTAGTACCCACTCGTAAAACCCTCTCTAGCTCCATTTTGTCCCGGACGAGGCAGGACGGGCAAGCCTGGACACAGTATTCCAGATGAGGCCGAACGAAAGCCGAGAACAGCCTCGTAAAGATGCCGCTCGTCAAGACTCCGAAAGAACGTCGGATTAACCACAACATGCGGAAACCTCTGCTAGCGGACTTCTTCCAGTTGTCGCCGGAGTGTAAAGCCGAAGAGTGTACGACGCCTAGGTCAACCTGGCTAGATACACGGGGGAGTTCGACCCCACCGACCAAGTACTTCGCAGGAGGACAACTTCCTCCAATTCGAAGAACGGAGCACTTTGCCTGATTTATAAGCAGTAACCATAAAGTAGACCAGTCCCAAAGCTTATCCAATGCTCGCTGAATAGCTTCGGAACCCCCAGGAACATCAGCAATGTTCCACAGCTTCAGGTCATCAGCAAATAGCAGCGATGGTACCTCAAGCTCCGCGGGTAGGTCATTCACATAGATAGAGAACAACAGCGGTCCAAGGACCGAGCCCTGCGGCACGCCGCTGAGGACAGACTGCCTAAATGATAGGCACCGGCCTACCCGTACACACTGTTCTCTACCCTCCAAGAAGGCAGTCACCCAATGAAGGGCGCGGCCAGATACCCCGTAGGAGGACAGCATTTGCGCGAGCCTCAAATGGGGTACCTTGTCAAATGCCTTCGAAAAGTCGACGAAAAGCACGTCCAGTGTGTGGCCGTTATCCACTGCATCCGCCCAATTTTCGCGAGCCACCAACAGATTCGTCAGACACGAAAATCCCTTCCGAAATCCGTGTTGTACATTACTAAGTAGATTGAATCTACTCAGATGACTTTCCAATGAATCTCTCACCAGTTTCTCGAGGAGTTTGACTACTACACTCGTCAGACTAACTGGCCTGTAATTTGCAGGCAGACCCCTGTCCCCATGTTTGAAGATGGGACAGATGACAGCTTCCTTCCATTCGGAAGGCAATGCACAACTGGCAAGCGATTTCTGAAACACAATAGCGAGCGGTCCACTTAGTTCCGCAGCCAACTCATGCAACAGTTTCGGGTGGTCGATGCAAGAGAGCGTCCCATCCGCCACTTGGAAATAACAAGTTCAAGTTCAAGCGGGACTGGAACGATAGGATAGATCCCGTGAGTATTCCTTCTTCGGCGGGTCGTTGAGCCAGGAGTTGGCGAACTTTGAAATACTGATGGACCTAAAACAAAGACCGCATCACACCCTGTCCAACCAATTAATGCCCACGTATCCTGCCCTAGCAGTCCCTGCTGGGTCGGTTACGTGAAGTAAGAAAGAGAAAAAAGTAAACGCAGGAGGCAAAAGAGAAAGTGGTAAGAGCTAAGCAAGTGGAATACCAAGATATTTGAGTCAATAAAAAAAACTGAAAAATGAAGGTGAGTCAGCTAGGAAAAAGGAAAGGTTTGCTGTCGCCACCCAAGAGCATCGAGCTGGTGCGCAAAACCCTTAACCGTAGGTTCCCTAACCACGTGATCTGGAAGAGAATTCCAGTGATCTATAACTCGGCGCGATAGACGAGTTTCCGTCCTAATCCTATCAGACCGTGGTTTATGCAGTTTCAGTGGGTGGCCGCGGAGACTAGGTAACGTAGCGGGACTAAAAAGCCCTGACAAGTCCGGGCCAATCTTACCCGTACAAATACGATAAGTGAGAATCAGGTCCCCTCTTATCCTTCGGTAGTGCATGGAGTACATCCCCAAACTGAGCAAGCGTTCAGGATACGTCTGTCCCCGTAGACCCTGCACTAACCGAGTGCCCACTCGTAACACCCTCTCCAAGTCCATTTTGTCTCGGTTAAGACATGGTGGACAAGCCTGAATACAATATTCCAGGTGGGGTCCGACGAATGCCGAAAATAGCTTCACAAACAACTTGGCCGTTAAGATTCCGAAAGAGCGGCGGATAAACCACATCATACGAAACCCTCGACAAGCAGCCTTCTTCCAGTTGTCTCCAGAATGAAGTGCTGATGCGTGTACGACTCCTAAATCAACCTGCTGAGTGACAACAGGGAGTTCACCACCGCCGACAACATATCGGGTGGGAGGATTAGCAGCTCCGATTCGGAGAACAGAGCACTTGGCCCTATTTATGGGCATCAACCATAAGATAGACCATTCCCAGAGTCTATCCAAGACACGCTAAATTGCCTCAGGACCCCCCGGGATATCCACATTATTCCAGAGCTTAAAGTCGTCAGCAAACATTAATGATGACACCCCTAGCTCTCCCGGCAAGTCATTTACATAGATCGCGAACAACAATGGCCCCCCATACCGAGCCCTGCGGAACGCCACTAAGGACAGCTTGCCTGAGCGAAAGGCTACGCCCCACCCGTACGCACTGTTCCCTCCCCTCAAGGAAGGCAGACACCCATTTAAGGGTGCGACCACTCAGCTCAGTGGCCAGTTCATGCAACAGCTTCGGATGAATTGAATCAGGACCGGAAGCTTTAGAGGGATTAATGCCTTGCAGTAGCTCGAAGACCTGAGTCTCCGTTATGCTAAATTCAGCTAAGCAAGAATCCTCTGGAACTCTTGAAACCAATTCGACCTGTGGTAAAGAGGTCTCCCGAGCAAAGACCGCAGTATACTGATCACTCAGTATACAAGCCTTGTCATAGTCAGTTTGCGCAGGGGTCGCGTCTGTTCGCAATAAAGCTGGTATAGACAATTTTGCCCCGCTGCGTCTTTTAACGTAAGCAAAAAACTTCTTGGGATTAGCTGCGGCCGAGTCCGCTAAACCCTGCTCGTATTGGAGACGAGCAGTTCTGAGATGTTGCTTACATTTATTTCTATTCTCTCGATAACTATCATAGGTACTGGCTGATGGAGCTGCTTGGTAGGTTCGCCAGCATCTAGACCGTTTCTTGAGTAGGTACTTGCCTGTGGTATCTATCCATGGAGGCTGTGCCCTTAACCCTCTTTTCCTAATGAGTGGAATATAGGGTGCGGAAACTTCCGTAAGGTATGCCTTAAATTTATCCCAGGCTAACTGGACAGAGTCAGCCATCGAAATCTCACAGTTCAGAACTGAAGCCTTAGTTCGCATTGCACTAAAGTCCGCCCGCCAAATATTCGGAAGTAATTCAACAGCGGTCTCTTGGTGCCTTGAAAGAGCACATCGAAAGGATATGCATGCGTGATCGCTGGACCCTAGAGGTGCACCGCATGAAACGTCAGTCACGAAGTCCAGGGACTTAGCGAAAACCAAATCCAAAGTAGATGGTATTTGGTTGTCCATATACCTAGTGGGAAAGTCAACGAACTGGTGCAAAGGCACTTGGAGAGTCAGTTCAAGGAAGTCTGCACCGAATGTTCCTAATGCCGAATTGCAAGAAAGATCGGCCCAACAGACTTCCGGGAGGTTGAAATCCCCTAGAACTAAACACTTATTCGCAGACTGAGTGCGAATAAAGTCAAGTATCCCCCTGGAGGAACTTCCAGGACTTCTGTATACCACTATAACTGTAAACTGGGTAGAGGAAGTGCACAAAACAGCCGAGAGGGGTTACAGTCTGGTCCGAGGACTAGAATGTGCAAGTCCTCAACACATCTAAGTTACAGCTCACATACAGTACAACGCCTCCGCCTTGGCGACCAACGGAGCGATCAGTTCTAAGCAGCGCGTAGCCAGGTAAGTATACCTCACCGTCCGTGACATCCGGAGACAACCACGTCTCAGTGAAAGCAAGGATGTCGGGACGAGATTTGTCTACAAGTAGACCCAACTCGTGCACCTTGTTCCTTAGGCTAAGCACGTTGCTAAGTACTACCTCAAGGAAGTCGGCACGACCATCCCTGGGTCGTGCGCCATCAGGATGGGTTCTGATAGGGCGGAAAGTAACTTCCGGCTGACCACCTGAAAACCCACCAGACGGAGGCCTTGTTGGGGATGTACTCCATGCACTACCGAAGGATAAGAGGGGATTTGATTCTCACTTATCGTATTTTGACGGGTAAGATTGTCCCGGACTTGTCAGGGCTATTTATTCCGGCTACGTTACCAAATTTCCGCGGTCACCCACTGAAACTGCATAAACCACGGTCTGATCGGATTAGGGCGGAAACTCGTCTGTCGCGCCGAGTTATAGATGGCTGGAATTCGCTTCCAGCTCACGTGGTTA